ACGGTACTGTAGCTTGGTATAATGACAGTAAAGATGAAAACAGAAGTATAGGAACGGTACTGTAGCTTGGTAAAATGACAGTAAAGATGAAAACAGAAGTATAGGAACGGTACTGTAGCTTGCTATAATGACAGTAAAGATGAAAACAGAAGTATAGGAACGGTACTGTAGCTTGGTATAATAACAGTAAAGATGAAAACAGAAGTATAGGAACGGTGATACGGCTTGCGATTGATGACAGCAAGGTTAGATACATTTATAAGTTTGATAACTGGGCTATGTACAGGCTTTTAAAGCATAAATTAATGAAAGATACATCCAGATTTATAGCATTAGTGCTATAGCCTAACGTCGCTAAATTCATATCTCGTACTTTTAACTTACTTTATGTACTTGTTCTGGACGTAACCTAAACACAGGTACTAACACTGAGTATTGTATAGACGTAACCTAAACACAGGTACTAACACTGAATATAGTATAGATGTAGCCTAAACACAGGTACTACTACTGAGTACTGTATAGACGTAACCTAAACACAGGTACTAGCACTGAATATAGTATAGATGTAGCTTAAACACAGGTACTACTACTGAATACTGTATAGACGTAACCTAAACATAGGTACTAGCACTGAATATAGTTTAGATGTAACCTAAACACAGGTACTACTACTGAATATTGTATAGATGTAACCTAGACACAGGTACTACCACTGAGTACTGTATAGATGTAACCTAAACACAGGTACTAACACTGAGTATTGTATAGTTGTAACCTAAACACAGGTACTAACACTGAGTGTTGTATAGTTGTAACCTAAACACAGGTACTACTACGGAGTACTGTATAGGTGTAGCCTAAACACAGGTACAAACACTAAGTACTGTATAGACGTAACCTAGACACAGGTACTACCACTGAGTATTGTATAGATGTGACCTAAACACAGGTACTACTACTGAGTATTGAATATTTATTTTCTCTATTCTTTTGGGCCCGGCATGGCCAGGTGGTTAAGGTACTCGACTCGCAATCTGCGGGTCGCGGGTTCGAATCCCTGTCACACCAAACATGCTCGCCCTTTCAGCCGTGGGGGGCGTTATACAGTGACGGTCAATCCCACTATTCGTTGGTAAAAAGAGTAGCCCAAGAGTTGGCGGTGGATGGTAATGACTAGCTGCCTTCCCTCTAGTCATACACTGCTAAATTAGGGATAGGCTAGCGCAGATAGCCCTCGTGTAGCTTTGGGCGAAATTCAAAAACAAACAATCTATTCTTTTGTTTCACAGTTTAATGAACTTACTGAGGAGTATCCAATGAAGCGACGAAACAGTTTCGAAGAAAAATATTATAGTTTTACATTTTATTCCATATATATGTGTGTGTGTTTGTAATTTCAAACAAGAACACCAAAAGTGTAGCATCGCAATTATAGGAGAGAAAAATAAAAACTATATTGCGTGAGAGCAGTTAAAAGTAACCTAATGAGTCAGGTTTCTACTAAACGAAACTCCTACAACAGTGGTGACACAGTTTTTCGTCACATTTGACCTCTATTCGCATGCATCCATCAAATGTAACGTGAAACTGGAATTAGAAATAACGACATGTTTTTTTTTTTATTTGTTTCAGGATTTCATACGAAGGTATACAAGAACTACCTGTGCATAGCCTTCCCTAATTTTAAGCTGATAGACTAGAGGAAAGGCAACTAGTCAAAAGCATCCATCGCCAATTCCTGTCTGATAAAATAATTGGAAATGACCTTCACTCTTATAACTCACCCACGGCACAGAATAGCGAAGTTCGTTTTAGCGATAACGGGTCGTGAGTCGTGAATCTTCGAATTCAAAGTCTGGGTACGCTAACCAATCGGCCACGCCCAGTCCTCGATCAGTACGAGTGTCATCCAACTGTGTTCTACATCAATCGAAGTCAAAGTCTGGGTACGCTAACCAATCGGCCACGCCCGGTCCTCGATCAGTACGAGTGTCATCCAACTGTGTTCTACATCAATTGAAATTTAAAGGCTGTAAGATTGTTTGTGACAGACTTTTATTTTTTTTCTATTTAAATTTCGATTTCTTCCGTTACATTCCTTATTACAAAAACTTAACCCTAAAGATTTCGTTATAGCTTAACAACCCCATGGATCAATCGAAGGTGATATTTAAACGAGTAAATTTGTGTTTAAAAAAATTTCAGAAACAGAGAGGGGGAAAAAATGTATAGCTTGCATCCATAAACAAAATAAACTCAAATTTTATTCCCTCCTTTACCTGACCGTGTGATGAATCTTGTGGCTTATCAAGTCTGTTTGAAGATCTGGTTCTGAATTAAATGTAAAGATATCATCCACAGATATAAAAATGACGAAGTCTGTAGCTACTTGCTCCTAGAAACAAGGGGAACAAGGTCCCCCGTTTCAAATGTAAAGAGGAAGCATCTACGTTTCTCCCCCCGCCTACAAACACACAAACACAAACTTTGATAAATTAATTTGAAGATTAAGATTTGAGAAGAAAAGACAAAAGTAAAATTAAATTAAAGAAAATAGAAGGTCATCTTAATTGGTCATTTGCTTTTTATTTTCCTATTAATATCGTTTGTGTGTGTGTTTCCAATTGATTTCAATCATATCATGCCCCAACCGACAGTGTGGACATTCCACACAACTGTTTCGTTTGATACTTAAACATATATGTGCAAACGAAGATCTGAATAGATGGTTTTAATAAAAAAAAAATTAACTGCACAACATAGAAACATCAAGTTATAGACAAAGGCAATTATTGGGATAAGCGATCAGACAATTAACACTAGAACGAAACTCAAACAACTGTCCCAAAGTAATTTGCAAGCAAGTTTCCAAGTCTGTTCCAAATTTTCAAGGCCAAAAAAAACGTGGTTTGTATAATACTTTCAAAAATATGGGTTGAAGTTTTAAACTTTTTTAATGCAATTTGTTTAAAAGACATTAACAGCAAAGCACAAAACGAGACGTGAAATCTGATCACCCACGCACAAACATATTTTCGTTATTACAATGTTCATTCAGCTTATGCCTAAAGCCCTCGTGAAAGTGGGGGGTGGGAGCAGGGGATTTAGGTCGATAAACATCACATCTGATTAACATTATACGTCAGTACAGTGGATCAAACTAACGGGGTCAGTACGTACGTACAGAGGAGACTATACAATACTCAGTGTTAGTACCTGTGTTTAGGTTACGTCTATACAATACTCAGTAGTAGTACCTGTGTTTAGGTTACAACTATACAATACTCAGTGTTAGTACCTGTGTTTAGGTTACAACTATACAATACTCAGTGTTAATACCTGTGTTTAGGTTACAACTATACAATACTCAGTGTTAGTACCTGTGTTTAGGTTACAACTATACTATATTTAGTGTTAGTACCTGTGTTTAGGTTGCAACTATACAATACTCAGTGTTAGTACCTGTGTTTAGGTTACAACTATACAGTACTCAGTGTTAGTACCTGTGTTTAGGTTACAACTATACAATACTCAGTGGTAGTACCTGTGTTTAGGTTACAACTATACAGTACTCAGTGTTAGTACCTGTGTTTAGGTTACAACTATACAATACTCAGTGTTAGTACCTGTGTTTAGGTTACAACTATACAGTACTCAGTGTTAGTACCTGTGTTTAGGTTACAACTATACAATACTCAGTGTTAGTACCTGTGTTTAGGTTACA